AAATATTCATTCACACCACTACTGACAATGATTTGATTGGTTAAAGTGGGCAGTGTCTTACCTCAATGTGGGGTGCGAATGGTTATTTGCCCTTCGTTCGTGTTAACAAAATGATTAGAGAATGTTTTTCAAAAGTGAGCCTTCTTCAATTAGGTTGTTTGTCAGAGAAAATCATGAATTAAATGGGCCAGGCACAGTTGCCAAATGTGACTTTTGCTAGCTTAACAACATACAAAGAAGAACACGGCTCTGTTATTTTGGTAATGACAACAGGAAAGTGTGGCTTAATCCTCGAATCAACTCTGATTCTTTTAATAGCTACAGCTTTCCAAAGGACTGTTCACATAATGTCTTTGTCAGACAAATTTTTGTCGACAGCAATGGTAATGATCTGAATCCCTTATACACTACAACTAAAGAGTAGCACACTCATTTTATAGAGTGTATTGTATACACAGTGTTTAACAATGTATTTGTGAGTTGTTCAAAACATTTTTAGCATTTTTGCATGTAGCCCTGCATTAGTCCAGCTTTCTTTGCCTGGTTAAGGGCATAGATAAGTACTGAAACTACCCAAGCAATTACTTTTAATATTAAGGCTGGCTATTCTCCTGTTCTTCCCTCCCCCACCCCCAGCTTCACCTCCCACGAGTGTGGAGAGTTCAGCATGGCTAACAAGACTCAGCCATGAAGCATAAAAACTCCTCATTCAGGCCCACAAAGAGGAGATGTCGTTTAGCCAGGCCTTAATATCACAGTTGCAGTGTTTTCTACCAAAGCCAAAAAAGTTTTGCTGAGTAAATAACTCCAGCCACCGCCTATGAAGTAATATGAAGGTCTTTTGACAAAGGTCAAACTCCCATTGCATGACAGAGCAACGTGAAATGTTGCTAACTGTAAATCTAAAGCTCCAGGGGGTAGCCGAGTTAGTCTGTACAGGATAAACTTAAACAAAAACTGGTCTTGTAGCACTTCATGGACTAACAAAACATGTAGATGGTATCATGAGCTTTCGTGGGCACAGCCTAGTACTTCTTCACGAGAGCTCATGTAAATCTAAAGATATCATTTTATTATCACACAAATCCTATAGGTATAATTAAAGCAGTGCATTCTCATGTATGCAAGGCCTCAGGGTTTTCCTAAATCCAGCTAATGTTTGACTAAATGAATAATTGTGTCCACAAATGTTTTAATGGTCTGTAAAAAGTTACAAAATTTGTAGTTAGTTTTATTTTAACCTTTGTAGTAAAGAGGGTTCAGTTAAAGAGAGAGAGAGGAAAAAAAAGATGCAGTTTTGCAAGCCACAAAGTAGCAGAAGATTCAAGATACAGGCAGTCCCCGGGTTACGTACAAGATAGGGACTGTAGGTTTGTTCTTAAGTTGAATCTGTATGTAAATCGGAACTGGCATCCAGATTCAGCCGCTGCTGAAACTGATTAGTTTCAACAGCGGCTGAATCTGGACACCAGTTCCGACTTACATACAGATACAACTTAAGAACCCCAGGCGTCCCCAAGTCAGCTGCTGCTGAAACTGATCAGCGGCTGATTCCAGGAAGCCTGGGGCAGAGCAACTCTGCCTCGAAATTGTAAGCATTTAATTCAATTTCCACCCACTTTTCAGCTAGATTTCAGAAAGTGAAATTTTGCTTGCCAGCTGAACTTTATCATTTTGATACTTAGTTTTCGTTGAATTTTTTAAGATACCTTTAGGAGCCAGATTGCAGGGATGAGGCATGACTTTGTTCCATTTACACACGGCATGACCTGTTCAGGCCTTTCTTAGTAAGCTCACATGAGCCCACATTCCAGGGTGGAAGATCTCTTTTTCATCCTTAGTATCAAATTCTGTTGTGCTATCTATCCAACCTGCTTATATGTCTCAGTATGGGTCAGGTATGGGGCCTTTGGGTATGCTGGCTGCTTTGGTAATATTTGTTAGACTATTTTGGGGTTACCCAGCAGACCAGGGAGACGGGGAGCAGCTTTTCTCGCCCCAGGCGTCCCGCCGCTCCAGTCTTCCGGGGCGAGAAAATCCCCATTCGTAACTGCAGATCCGACGTAAGTCGGATCCACATAACTCGGGGACTGCCTGTACATTTATCTTAGTGGAAGATCCAAGATTTCTTCTATTGGGTGTTTTTGTACCTGTGTAGTACACTGATATAAGAGTCTGTATAAGCTCCTATCACAACCCTTCTGTCATGGTGTAAAAATAATGACTTTGCACTGGTACAACTCAAAATGGTTTAGGAAATAAGGAATCCCACAAGAAAATCTCGTATGGACATGGTGACATTTTGCCCTTTGCAAACCAGGATAAACTGCAACAGTTCCGTACTCTGAGCTTGCCCTCCTGCAATTAGATTAGCATAGCCATGACTTGACAAATATTGTCAGAAGAGCCGGCGCAGAGCAATCTGCGCATGCGCAGAGTGCAGAACCGCACTGCTGGCGAGCAGGGCTCGCCGCCTCTTGACGAGCCCTGAGCATAGCTATGCCAACACAAACAAATACAAATGAAAAATTTAACAAAACCCGCAAAGCATAAAACCACCGTCAAGCTACACAGCTTTTGGTTTCTGCCCTCAAGGATAAGACAAAATTGCAAAATGGTCAGGCATGAATGTAGTAAAGCTAATTTAATTGGTAAAGTACCAAATAGGCCAATTATATGCAGTCTTTCAAAAAAATCTATTTCTGCATGATTAAGTAGCTACAGGAAATAAACCGAGTTCATGCACTAGTTTTGTTGATTAGTTTGTCTTGGTTAGATCTGCATATATGAAAGCGCATCCAACTAATACCACAACCAGTTTTTGGTAGTGGTTTTTTTTTTATTTGTAAAATAGCCAAAAGCTTTAGCAATAAAGGATCAAAAATACCAGTTAGGACATCTGGAGACAAGGGGATTGACCTTATTGGACCAACTCCTGTTGGTGAGAAACACAAGCTTTCAAGCCACAAAGAACTCTTCTTTAGGTATGAGGAAAACAGAAGTCCTAGGGACTTTCTCTACAAAGAATGCACTTCAGTTAATATATCTATCATTCACATGCTGCAATTTTCTAAAGCTAAACTGTGGTTAAACATACAATGATTTTATCATTGGAAAACTGAGAATCCTGAGGCTAAACAGCAGTAATAAACAATGGCCTGGCTTCAGATACAGTAATTCATGGCAAGAAGAAAGCTCTCTCAAATGGAGCTGGAAGGAATGTAACTTGAGATTTCTACTGAATTATCTAATTGGAAAAAAAAACAGAAAAACACCCTAACCATCTTGACTGCAAAGATGGCATTCAGTTCACATTAGGAAGGTTAAGTGATTTCATGCAGGTTTGTCCTAAGTCTGAAGAGAAATAGTTCCTGGCTGTTTCTGAGATGTTTCCTATACTGCAGAACAGGCCTGGGAAGAATCCGGCCCACCAAGCAACCAGATCTGGCCTGCAAAGGCAGCGGGTAGCCCGAGATAGGCTCAGAAACACAGCTGCCTGGCCCCGTTTCCCTTTCAAAATTGTAATCTCGGAGGGGAAGGGGGAAAGCTTCAGGTGCTGCCCCTGCCCCTAGCACAATCCCGTTGGGCATTTTTTGGTCAAAAACTGGCCAATGAGAGTTGCCTGTTTGAGTAACAGGAAACCAAAATGCATCATGCCCCTCTGGCTCAATTATTTACACAAGCACATGGCTGAGCAGGCAGGCTGAGAAACATTTTAAGCTCTGCAAGACTTTAACTCTGTAGGCAAGCAGACAGGTTTGGCTGCTGGCTGGTACGTCTCATGGCCAGAGCCTGCCTCTGGCACCCAGGCCTCCCTTCACAACCCTCTGCCCCCCACTCCTGCCCCCATACCTCCTCTCAGATTTGGTACCCAATCTCCTGCCCCAGATCACAATTCCCTTCCTACACTAGTTCACATCCCAAAACCCTGCACTGCAGTCCCCTGACCTAGGTCACAATCGCCTCCTTTACCCCAACCCCCTCCCAAACTCCATTCTCCGTCCTGCACCCCAATCCCTTACCCCGACCTTCTTTCTGCACCCAATCTCCATCCCAGGCCCTGCACCTCCTCCTTTAATATCATGGAAAAGTGCAGCCCTCAACCACTTTCCAAAATCTTGGTGTGCGCCCCACTCCACTCGCCCCCCGACCCCATCAAAAGTTACTGCCCATCCATGCTGCAGAGTATGCACTGATCAGAGTGGTCAGTTTCACAGCTATTGTTCAGAGTTTTGGGTAGCAGTGGAACTGGAAAATGTTTGAGTTAAGTTCTTTCTGCTACAACAGGAAAAATAGATTCATAGAATATTAGAACTAGAGGGGACCTCGAGAGATCATCAAATCCAGTCCCCTGCCTTCATGGCAGGACTAAGCACCATCTAGGGATCAACCCTGAGAGATGTTTATCTAACCTGCTCTTAAATACTGGCAATGATAGAAGATGAAGAATCCTATCCTCTTCTCCTTGTGTCCCCCCAAAAATAAAAAGGAGCAAATGAATCACCTTACTTGAGGACACTCCATGATCCTTTGGGGAGCCTATATATATGGAAGGGAGTAAAGCAAGTTCTATTTGGATGAGAGAGAATAAGAATAAGGAGATTGAAAAACAGGAAAGACACACTCTGATCTAGAATCAGGAAGAAACAAATAAGGGAAGAGAAGAAGGTACAATGAAAACAAGGACACAGTAAGACACTGTTTACATTTTATATGTTCAAAAAAGTTTTAGTTAGGTATTGAAAATAAATCTCAGGAAATAAAAAACCCTAAAGGAAAAAAATAGTTGGGCATCTGGTTGGATGGGTTTGGTTTGTTAGGGCGATTGACAGGTTTGAAGGGATTGATAGAAGTTTTCAGATATATGGTTCCTTTTATAGATTGTTTTCAGAGGCTTAGATGGTTTAAACACTGCTTTTCTTACATAGTTGTAACTATGCTAATAGATGCATTCACTCATCTGGTCAGAATATGAATCCAAGGTCCAAAATCCAACTCACCTGCCATTTTTGTTGATGTAAGTTGCTAAGTAACCATGATCTTCCCAGTTATGAATTGTTTCTGTCATTCCCTGCTCTTGAAAAACAGGCTGTAGACCTTTAAGAACGGCATTGCAATCAGCTGCAAGAGGAAGGGAAGGGAGGGAAAACACAGTCAGTTAAGACATTCTGAGAAAACGGTTAGTTTACTACTCCTGCTGCTTTATTTATATTTCAAACAAGTTCTATAGTTTTTGGCAAGTGTCTGCCTATACCACACCATACTCTGCACCACCCTTTCGCTGTAGCTTTTGAATCTGCAACCTGGGGCACCCTGATGCAAATAGGGAAGGGGAGAGGATGACTGAAGAAGGAAGTAAATTACTGTAACTGCTAGTCTTTATGTTCACTGTCCCCTGATTTATGACATCATCCCGGACAAGGAAGTTTTGTCAAACATGTATTTTTTAAGATTTGCGTGATCATAGGGCAGTGTCTAGTCTAATAGGATTAGCATTACTCAACCACTTCTACCACCATAAAAGCAAGACTCCAGGCTTGTACAGACATGCTTATTATGATAAGACCTAGTAATAGAGAAGCTACTGTATTGAATGACCTTGCAATTTATTATTCTCCCCAGGTTACTGCATTTAACATTTTCTCCAGTGACTCACTCATGAAGATGAGTCAACCAATTCCACTAGAGACACAAGCAAGGGAAACGCTGAGGTGAAAGTTTGTAGCTAAGGGACACAAAGCAATAGTAAGTACTATTGCGTGTTTCCCAACACTGTAATGTACAAATGCCGACTCTGAAAGGTACTGGCGGTGCCTGTCCCCCATCCCACTTCTGCCCTACCTCTTCCCACCCAGTTCCATCCTTTCCCCCGAGCACGCCGGGTCCTTGCTCCTCAGTCTCAAACACTGTGAAACAGCAAATCACAGCGGGCGGGAGGGGACAATGCTATCTGCAGGGCTCCAAGTGGATGGAAGATGCAGGCAGGAGGGAAGGAGCTCATAGGGCAGTGGTCTCCAACCTTCATCCCACTTCTGCCCTACCTCTTCCCACCCAGTTCCATCCTTTCCCCCGAGCACGCCGGGTCCTTGCTCCTCAGTCTCAAACACTGTGAAACAGCAAATCACAGCGGGCGGGAGGGGACAATGCTATCTGCAGGGCTCCAAGTGGATGGAAGATGCAGGCAGGAGGGAAGGAGCTCATAGGGCAGTGGTCTCCAACCTTTTTACACCCAAGGTCACTTTTTAAATCTCAGAACGAGCAAAGATCCACTGCCCCATCCTTCCCCAAGACCCCACCCCTTACTTGAAGCCCCGCCCTCTCTATTCTCCTACTCTCCATCACTTGCTGTCCCCAGCCCTTATACACTCTACACTGCCATTTGGCCTGTCTAGACTGGACCAAATGTTAGAAAACCCCCTTCTTTTGGAATCCCCCTTATTCCTCGTGGAAAGGGGAATATAGGGGTGACAAAGAGCATGTTTGCTCTTCCACTAAAAAAGCAGAACAACAAATGCATCCCTGGATGTGGAAGAGTTTTTCTAGGATATCTCTGGAATCCTGGAAAAGCTCCTGCAGTCTAGCCGTACCCTCACCAGGTTGAGACAGGATGTGTGGGCTCTGGGGTGGGAATGAGGGATTTGGGTGTGGGAAAGGGTGAGAGGTGCAAGTTCTGGGAGGAAATATGGATGCAGGAGGAGGTGGAGAAGGGGATGCTGGCTCAGGGAGGGGGCTCCAGGATGGGGAGTGTTGGAGTCAGATGGAGGGTTGGGGTACTAAGCAAGCCATAGGCTTGTGGCTGTGTGGGAGGTGGGAATTTGGGTGGGGG